ATAATTTTTGAAAGCAAAAATTATGTAGATAATATGAGACATCAGTTGTGCTTACCCTATGATATATTGTTACTTGCTGTTGGCTCAAAATAGCTCTTTATCCTTTCTTATTCTTTTTCCTTCTTCAAATAGATCAGATCAGATCAGATATGTCTAACCAAAAAACAGTACGACTAGTTTTCTTAGCTTTAGTGTTCATGAAAGAACACTGCATTATTTTCCACTGTTAGTCTTTGGATCATGCTATTTAAGTTCAGGAAAGGCTTTTCATTGTCCTTGGCTGGAGCACAAGATGTCTGAAATGATAGCTTGGTCTCAGGACAGCCACAAAACCACATTCTGAACTCTGAGTAGGAAACTGGGACATGTTTTCCCAGAGACATATTGGGTTTATGTTCCTAAAAGTATATAGTAGATGATGTGAGTTAGTTGACCACCAGCAGGCCCTTAGTGACTGCATAACCACTCTATAGCAATACATTGACTGAAGTGTAAATCCTTGCTCTGCATAATTTAATTGGATTTCAAGCCTCAAACGGAGTGAAAAAGAATGGATGTGCTTAGGAAAGCACACTTCAGAAATATGATCTCCTATCGTCATGTGGGAATACCTTGGCTCTGACATCTCAGAGACCTATGAGAGGCTCAGTTTCTAAACAGGTGCTCCCCACTTTATGCTTTATGTAACTAAAGTGCATGTCTACAGTGTACCTGGAAAATGGACTTGTGTGAACAGAGTTCAGATGTTTACCTTCCATGTACACAGCACCAATTAGAAAGTAAAACATGTTGATATCTTTGAACATATATAAGCTAAAATTGGCACATAGTCACTTGATAAATATTTATTGAATGAAAAAAAATGTTACTGAATTTTGTGTTACCTTAGAGTATGAATAATTTAAATGGCATTTACTTTGCTTGGAGATATGCTCACTCTGAACCTCTAAAATGCCAAGGATTAAAAGTGCAGCATATCAAAACATAATAAAAATTATGTGTGGAAGCAGAGCCTCAGGACTGTGATGAGAATAAATTAGCCAAATCTATAGAGCTTCGCTCTGAGCTCTTTGAAGTTCTAATATAAACATTATTTGGTGATGATTAAGTTTGATTGCCATACTCCAAGGATAAAGCTACTTTTCTGGAGAGGATGCTGTTTAGAGATGAACTGCAGCATTACTTTTAATGATTTTGAATGATGTTGAAAAATTGATCCAAATACAAAATCAATGTTCATTTAGTGGTGTTATCCACTCAGGAGGATGTAGAAATCTAAACTATGCAATAATAACATATTGTTGATGTTATAACTGAAGAACAAAATGATATATTATTTGATGTGTCAAACCTCATGTATTTTTTTTAATCAATTACGCATCAAGGTATAGGAGATAGTGTGTGTGTGTGTGCGTGCACACACACACACGTGTTTCACTAAAAAAATGGTACAATGTTTAGAAGTCTGGGGAAAATATAACCACAAAGACTAAGCTATAATTTCAATGATTAATGTTTCTGGAGATAAATATCCAGTGAGTGACTTTTCTGTTGGTTTTCAAAAATGTCCTGTGTATTTATCGTTGTCTTTGACATTAGATAGGTTTGATTATTCAGGCAGACATCTTTAGCCTTAGTCCTGTCAATAATAAGCTTCTTGGGATGAAAGAAGACACTACAAATGTAAACCCCTTGGATTAATACATTTTAAATAGTCTAGTCTGACAACTCTACAGAATAAAAATATAAAGAATAAAAGTGAAATATACATGAAATATATAATGGGTGGGAATATATGTCATTACTAGAGTATCTTTCCAGCACACACATTGTCCTTTGGTGTTACAATATATAAATAAATGGACATATATTAAAAGCATCCCAGAACCTCAAAGATTAAGTCCAATCAAAAGGTCTTAAAAATACCAAAGCATGACAAAAATCAGAAAATGAATTCTGCGTACTATATGCAAAGAATGGCCATCAATTAACATTAAATATGGCTGGAATAAGAGTATTTAGTTAAAAAATATTGAGGAAATATTTTAAAGCAATAATTCTGAACATTTGGCAATTAATAGTTTTTAAGTGCAAAGTATATTTTCAAATCTCCAATACCTCAGGAAATTAGGTACTTACCCTATTATTACATTTCTAAGGATGGACAGACGAAAACTTAATAGTTAAATATTCTGGGAGAGTATAGATAGTAAAAAATAGTAGTATAAATATAATTAACACTTTTTCTCCAAAATACTTTTGCAGGCAAGAATGTTAATAGCTCATTTTCATTTGTCAATAGTTATTTTCTTTGGCATATCATATTATCATATGATAAAATTGTGAATTTTACCTATAAGACATAGGACTTATTCCTGAGACTTAGAAGACTGTGCCTAACAGGTCTTTAACTGGTATGCACACTTGTCAGAAAGGCAAGCCCCATTTTAACAGCCGTAGGTTGACATCTGATCTCAAATTTTCTGAATTTTCTGTTTATTGTCAGACAGATTTTGAATTTAGGGAAGGACTACAGTTTCTATTCATTACACCTGGGATGGTTAAACTTAAAAGCCAACTTGATGGAACCTACAATCAACTTGATGACAAACCTCTGGGTATGCATTGGAGAGATATTCCAGAGTATGTTAACTAGACTAGAACAACCAACCCTATATGTGGGTGGTGCTTTTCCAAGGGCCAACTTTTTCTTGTGAATAAAAAGAATGAAATAAGTTGAGCATCAATACTGATCACTTTCTACTTCCTAACTGTAGATTCGATGGGGCCAGCTTCCTCCTGCTCCTACCAATACGAATTCCCTACCATTAAGGACTATATCCCCAGAAACTGTGAACCAAAATATTTTTCCTTTTTTAAATGACTACTGTTGAGTATTTTGTTACAGCTAAGAGAAAAATAACTAAGAAGGGACCCTGTACTTCCAAAATCTAGACTTTTCTAAAATTTGGATAAGTTGAAACTTATTTAGAAAATTAGTTGTTTTGCTGTTGTTTTGTTTTTTCTAACTTAGTGAGCATTTGTGTTTGATCTGTGTGGTTAACATTACATTTTAAACTCTCCGAAGCAAATAGGTTAAGGTCTTAAATAAATGGCTGGATAGCTGAGAAAAAAGTAACCAGTGCTTAATGATCAGGATGACAGACCAAAATGAAGGGGTAAAAATCTTATTTCTGTCTGCTCTCAATGCCAGTTTTAGAAGAGATCTTCATTTCAGAAAAATGCACCTATAATCCAGTGAAACAAGACAGACTATGAGGGGTAAGATCTAAGCATCATGACAAATGCAAAGTGAGTTTACATGACAAACATCACACCATTACATGAAGACTAATTACTGAGAATAAATAGCTCAAACCTTAAAGACCAGGAGACTGAAGGCAGGAAGCTAATGAAAAACAGCAAATTTGATTGAAGGACTACCAAGACTATACATGTGAAATATATGAATAATTGAGTTTCTGCTTTAGAACAAGTCACTAATGTGTAATGAGAATAGATAATTGGAAACAGTGCAATGTGAAGGAAATTGATACACAATGAAACATCCTTTATGTTAATGCTGCAAGACTGGAATAAGTGTTTCCAGCAAGTACTGAGTTAATGTAAGCACTTCTTCACACCAAATCTCTCTGCACTGGCTAAATATAATGCTACTGGGGTGTTGTGATGGAGTAGTCATTACAAAAAGAATATTTTTGCATATTTTAATGAATTCTGTCCATTTGGAAGACTTATTTTAAAATTTCATCTTCCTTTTCAATTTGTAGAAAACTAACTAGAATATAAACAAAGCAAAGAATCCCACCTCATAGAAGAATGTGCACCACAGATAGGCATGAAATTAAAGACTGCATCCCTTCTTATTATTATGCAATTGAAGATACTGGAAACAGTTTATGGAAAATACTAATATTTTAAATTCGTGGTAACTAAATAAGAATCATTTCATGATGGACATTAAATCATATTCAAGATATAGCACTCTCAAAAACTTTCTACATGGCGTTTCTATTGATCTGGATAGTTTCAGCAAATTGCCAACTAATAAATAATTATGCTAATGAACTCTTCTGCAATATATATGTTTACATTTCCTGTTATTGGTAAAAGCCTGGAATGCAAGAAGAAAGAGAAAATGTGAAGTACCTTGACAAGCCTGTGTTTTCTAATAATAAAAATATACAGATAACAAATTGATAGCTAGAAAAAAGACTGTTCTTTAGTAGGAGACAGCAGAGATACAAAAACCACTAAAATAGCATAATAAAAACTTAGAGAGCAAAGACGGAGCAACTCAAAGGACACTTGGTAATAAGGTGAAATTATTATGCTTTTAAAGACTGTGCTTTAAGGATGATGATTTCTTGTCACTGAAATGTTACTACACTGCTAAAAATATGTTATTCATGGAATCCCTTTCTAACAGCTGTTGAATCTCAAACCTTTCCAATTTTACAAGTCATTTCAATGTTCCATATTACAAGTGAATGGAAAGATACACTATCAGTTTCCTGGCAGATGCAAAGCAATCTGTTCCCTCCTATATTAAGCTTATATTCAGTCAGAGAAATATTTTTTCCTTTTAAATCCTCCTTTATGAAGACTAGACACATAATTGTCATGAGAGGACATAAAATTTCATTCTTGTTTTGTCACACCAATTAGAACTTCATTTAACTTCAATAGTGCACTGTATATCTGTCAGTACTGCATCTAAGTATGCTGTATATAACTCAGTTTTGAAATCAGTGCTTTGGTCACTAGTTTAAATTATGTAGCTTATTGTGTGGGAGTTTTATACTCATTTGAAAATTTAGTATATTATCACCATGAAACATGAGCAGTGAGTTGCTTGAGATAATACCAGGAAAATGTTTAAGTGGGTTTATTTCCCATTTCTTTCTTCTTAAATTCCTTGAAAAAGATAAAACATAATGAAATATTATAAAATGAGTAAAAACCATCTCCAAACCTACTTTTTCTTCAGTCTTCTGTCCTTTTCAGCTTGAGTTCCAAGCTTGCTCAAGCCCAGGGATTCCTGTGCTGCAGCTTCAGTCTCCATGAAGCCTCCTGTGAAGAAGCAATTGGAGATCAAGATATAGGTATTTGTCCATTTTGAAGTTAAAGTCTCCAAGTCATATTTGAGCAACTACTCTGAAACACTTTTTTCTTATAGGATTGCCCTTGTATTACTGTCTCAACATACCATACACCAATGACATATACATATAAATGCTCTGAGAAAATCAATAGAAAAGGAAACATAATTATGGCAGACGTGCATGTGTGTGTGTGTGTGCATGCATGTGTGTGTGTGTGTGTGTGTGTGGGTGTGTGTGTGTGTGTGTGTGTGTGTGGGTGTGTGTGTGTGTGTGTGTGTGTGTGGGTGTGTGTGTGTGTGTGTGTGTGTGTGTACCAACAGACAAAAGAACTGCACTCAATGCTCAAGGCCATTCTTGTGAAAAGTAAGAGTGAATACATGAATAGCATGCTTTTCATTTATCATTTACATTGAGAAAATCTGCTGAACAGAAAGATGTGTGCTTTTGGCCCCATGTTTAAAGAATGCAGAGATCCTTGTTGGCTTTTCAAATTCTGCATGTGAAGTTCCTAGACCACATTTCGTTCTGACTCCTAGGTCAGTCTTATATCCTAAATCACATGTCTCCTGTGTTCTGGGATAGCATTTGCATTCTGGGACAGCTTTTGCTTTGATTATTTTATGAGATTGAAAAAAATTAGATCTTTCTAAAAGGCCTCAGTACGATTATTTTCACCTAATTTATTATTTATTATTTGAATTAGTAGAATCAGAAATTATATTATATATACATAGTCTTGGTGTGAACAAGAGAAATTTCATGTGTGCCACTTATATTTAGACACATTTTACAAAATAATCATTTCACTTCAAAACCCTAAATGCATATTGATTTCTAAATTGTTACTTATAGTGAAAAATAGGGCTTAATACTGAACCTTCCTTCTCTTTGATATTTATCATATGTAAAATAAACATAAAATCATATTCAATAAAATATACTCACAAATTTCACTTGGAGGAATGTGTACACACATATGTATATACACTTTTAAATATGATGGACAAGTCAAAGTTAAGCATAAAACTAGAAATCTTCCAATAATACTAATATAATACTAATCATAACTTCATTTTTAACAAATGTCATCCTTCAAATTTAACCAATATAGCAGAAAACCACCTTTGAAGACAGTTGTCACATATTTATTTTGCATTTTACTTGCTTAAGTTTTGAGGGCTTGACTGTGATATGGTTTCTCTCATTCATAGAACTGACCAGTAAATTAGTTAGTACTGCTACTTGTAATTTATTTTAGCAAATAATTTGTAAAGCTGGATATTATTAATAGAGAATCTTGATTTAAATTAACTTAACTTTAAGCCTGAATATCTTATTACTGGACTGGATAATTGTAAGAAAGCCCCCTTTAATCAAAACGCATCAGTGACTGTCCAGATTCAATTTAGCATTATGGAGATACAGGGCCAAATTTATTTTATTCATTATATTCTTGTGCAATTAATGCAGTGGAGTTTTATGATGAAGGAGAGTCTCTGTGGTTCTTATTTGAAAAGCCATCTGGTGGCTAGCTGAAATCCTCTTAGGGAATATTTTCAAATCTCAAATTTTCCATTATGCATAGTGAAAGAATATTTTGACTATATTTCACATGAATCATCCATAAAGTGTCATTTATAATCAGAGAGTAACAATAAAAATGTCATCTTAAAATGGAAATGAAGTGAACAATTAACTTAAAACTCATAAAATTCTTCATTTGTCCATATGGTTTCACTGCAGATTGATGCAACAAATCTTTTCAATAAATGATTGAAATACTTTCAATTTTCAGGTTGTTGGATGAATCAGACTTATTTTTTCAGAGTAATAAAAGGACAATTGTTATTTAAAGTTTTTCAAGAACTCAACTTTTTAGATAAAACATGCTGATTTGTTAAGCAACAGAAGTTTTGAAAGAAAAAAAGTGTATAATGAGACAGCACAAATAGGATTTGCTACTTCCTGACTTTGGAGAAGTTGATTTAACTGTAACTATAATTAATCATAGTCATATATTCTGATCTAAAAATTCATAGCCTCTATGAATAAAAGTATAAAACAAAGCTTAGGTTTTTAGAAGACTTATTTTCTAGGTTTTAAATGATATCTTAGATATCCTGATAAAATACAATTTTGTTGGAAAAACCCCTAATTGTTTAGTATTTTCTCATCAAACTCAACTGAAAATAAGTATAAAAATATTTATGTGGAAAGGACAATCTAACATTTTAAAGGGAAATGGTAAAGTATAAAACCTAAGATAGGCATATATGCTAAAATGTTAATAAATAAGTGATTGCTATATTAGCAAACATTTTAATAATACAATTGTGAAATATACTACTACAAATTACAAATAATTTGGTGAGGGCCATGATAAATCATCAAATTAAATAAAACAAACATTGTTGCTTGGTATGTTGATTTATGTTTAAATACAGCTTTCATTTCCTATGTTACATTTCTTATTGCCTAAGGATTCCTTCTTCTGAGAAATAGAAATGCAAGGATTTTATTTCACCTGCCCCATTCAGTTATGCTGATCACATGGTCACATGCAGATCATCCTTCCCTAGCTTCTTCTGCTTTGTGTGGTTGCATACCCTGGATGCCAGGGAAGGGAGTGTGAAGAACTTCACTGTCATGAACCTGCACACTTGAGCATCAGAACAGAAATTCTTTGGTACTATAGTAGGAAATTAAACTTGGGTGATGGGGCATTACCTGAAAATATTCATTCCTCTAATTGATTAACCCCAGAACATATTTGGAAATCTATATTACTCTAGCTAACATTTACCCTTAGAAGCAGTGTAATCGTTTCTTAGTAATTTAACCATAAAGAAGAATGTACAAGAAGATTATCATCCATCCATCCATCCATCCAGTCTATCTATCTATCTATCTATCTATCTATCTATCTATCTATCTATCTATCTATCTATCTATCCATCCATCCATCCATCTGCATATTGGTCAGGATGTAAGATGTAAAGTTCTCTGCTACTGTTACCACATCATGCCTGTCTGTTTCCCTCCATTATGTTCACGGTCTGACCTCCTCAAACTGTGAAGAAGCTCCCAGGGAAGTAAATACTCCTTTGAGTAAGAGTTGCCTTGGTCATGGTGTTTCTTCACACCAATTAAACAGTGACTAAGATGATATTCTCACCACTCTTTCAGTGGTATAAATTTTATTTCAGAAATTTCACTGCTAAATCTTGGATAACTTCTATATGTATGAATATATGAGTGTGCATATGTATCTTTTTCATAACCATATCCTTACGTAGGGTCATTTAATTCATATTTTCATATTATCAGTCACTGATAATAACTTATCCCAGCCAAACTTCTAAGGCTTCATTTCTTCATCCTAATCTCACCTATATTCCTCAGAGTTAGTATCGAGAAACTGTGACAGCTTTTAAGTATCCTTCATATTTTATCCCCTTGTTATTTGGTTTGACACTAATACCTTTAGGTGTATTCAGGCTTTATCTCTTTTCTGCAGAAAATATTATGAGTTCACATAATTAACATTTTATATTTATAGATGCTCTAAGTGACAGCATACTCTTCTATTTCTTTTTCTTTTTGCCTGGTACATTTGGATATATGTGTGGTGTCTATACATGCTCTTGTAGGGGAGTGTACATAAGGATGTAGGTATGTATGTACGTGTGTGTGTGTGTGTGTGTGTGTGTGTGTGTGTGTGTGTGTGTGTGTGTGTGTTTGGGGGTGTGTGTTTGTTGGGTATCACTCAATAAAGTTTACTGATTTAGTTAGGATGGCCTTCCAGTGAGCTCCAAGGAGTCACCTATCTCTGACTCTACCAGCACTAGAGTTACAAACATTTGTCACCATGCTGGCTTTTATATGTTCTCTGAAGATTTAAGTTCAGGTCCTCATTACTGCATGTTTGATCATTTATCAACTGAGCCATGGCTCAAGTTACTTTTATAGTGATCTCTGTTCTCAAAATTTCTAAGATTTTGTTTACTCACCAATAAAATATGGATTGCAACAATAATGTTTGATTCACTGTGTTAATGCAACTTCATAAAATTAGCATTTAAATAGCCCAGCTATTGCTATTAACAAAGAAACAGAAGAATTGTGTGTCTTACAGTATTGCTTCACTGTAACTTTTGTTAAAGGTTAGTGAGCTACACTGGCTTTACCAAGTAGATTAACCTGAAAGCTCACTAGCTGTGTAGCTGTGAAAAAGGACTTACAGATGAGAAAAGAATCACCAGGACACTCAGAAGTGACAAATCCAGTGGGAGTAGAAAGTGAAAAAGTCCCATACTTACGAAGCTGCCCAAGTCGAGCCTTTTCTTTTTTACCAAACAAGCGCCCTATTGAAGACTTGATTCCTTTCTTCTTGGGGGCTTTGTGAAGAGAGTCTTGGCTGCTATTGGCACTGCCAAGCCCAAGGCTTTCTGGCTCAAGAGAGGCAGATAAACTGCTGCAGAACACAAAAGATGAAAACTGTTCATTTTGATGCACTATCCACAAAGTGCACAAGACTTCTCTCCTTTATAAGTGACAAAAATGAGGAATAAGTAGATTTTGAATGTGATTTTTTTTGCCCCTTTCCACCTCATCTTCCTCTAAGTTATTGAAATATTTCTTTCTTGGTTCCACTGGTCTCCAAATTTTCAGCAGAAAACATCATTTTGTTCCAAACAACTTTTTCCTTTTATTCCTGTATATTGTCAAATTAATGATCCTTCTTAGCCCAATTTAATAACTGCATGTTATCTTTTTATTGAGCATTCGGGCCATCCTCCCCACCCCCCAAATATTTTTTTCTGATTTAAAGAGAATGACCCATGGCAATCTGTTGATTGTGAAATGGAAGCTGCTAATTTAACCTTTGTCTTTATGAGGTTCCTTTATCTGTCTTTCTTTCTCTGTCACACATTTGAGACAAGTTCATTTGTTACAAGGCCATCTTCTGAGATCTAGAAGCAACTCATTGTAAATGCACATTGCTGTCTTCCAGATGTATGGTTATCAATAAAATACTATTTTAAATTCACAATAAACTGAAATGACTTCCAAATGCTTGATTAATTACCAATTCTGATCAGTATGTCTGACACTGTCTTAAAAAGAGAGTTCACCAGATACTGCTATAACATCATATTTTGCTGCTCTTTATGACTTTTAAACTTTGTTTATGCATCCAATATAATCTGAGTTTCTACACTCTAACCTCTACTAAGAAAGAGCTTTTCATATAATAAAAAATAATCCTCCACTATTGAGGAATAAAGAAGTACAATTTTTAAAGTAGTAATTGAAACCAATCAAATACATGGAAACACCTGTCTGCACAGAAAAACCACCTTTCAAAACCATACATCATGCAGCTACTCATTAGAAGATGTGTTAATCATTAAGTCATGCTAATTGTATTTAGAAATGCTGCTGCTACTGATAACCAGTGAGAATTCTGATGTGTAAGATGAAAACTTAATGCTGAGATATATTCATGCTTTTGATTATAGAGACCAACTTGAAAAGTTTAGCCATTTGGATAGGACATTATGAAGAATCTTATTGGCATATGAAATGCTTCCCCACCTTTAAAAAATGTTTTGCTTAGTGTTCATTTCAATGCTAAGGCCTTATTTCTGAGGCCTCAGAATGAGCACAGTAGCACAGAAATGCAACAAAAGAAGCCCAGGAATAGATTTTTCAGTACTTAATTTCTCTTATCATACACTACACATTTTTAGTTTTGTCCTAGAAATCCTATAGCTATCTATCACTAGTCATAAATATAATGAGAAATGTCTTCTAAATATAGAAGAGTAATTTGCATATTGCCTGATCACATAAACAAAGATCTAAATATGTTATCTTGTAATCGTAAAAGTAAAACTTTGATATACAGTTGGAAATTTTCACATGTCACAAGAGAAATGGAAAAGGGGAGAGCAGGAAGAGACGATGATGAATTTATATTTCAAGTCAAATTATGTACATACTAATTTTATTTTTAATTACACACATATTTTATATATAATATGTATGTATGTGTGTGTGTCATGTGCACCAGTGCAGGTGCATGCAGAAGCCAGTAGAGGGTGTTGGATCCCTTGAAGATGGAGGTATAGACATTGACAAGCTGCCTAAAGTAAATGCTGGGACGCAATCTCTGGCCTTCTCTAAAAGCAGTCAGAAATCTTAACAATTGAAACATCTTTTGAGTCTTATCTTTATACAAATAATATAACAGTTTATTTGACAACAGTGATGGAAGAGGAAGAATTTGGGGAGGAAAATATTTAATGTGCACCGTGCTTGAGTCTTACCTCCGGGCATCATTGTGGTAGGAAGAAGGGAGTGTGTGTGTCATTCTGATGGCTCTGGGTGTGGGAGGAGGAGAAGTTTCACATTTAATTGTTGCTTTATCCTCCCGTCCATCTTCTTCCACCACTGCAATCTAGAAACAGGAGCAGTGCATCCAATGAGCTAATTATAATTTCAACTGAAATTGCCTCAAAAGAAGAATCATTAAGGTAAGGGGACTAGAGTAATTCTTACACAAGCATAAATTTCTTACAAAGGCAAGTTGTTATTGTAAGCATGTGATCTACTTAAGAGTAAAGATATTATGTCTTTACACTAATGAACTAATTACAGAAAAATATGGCTTGAGAGTAAAAATGCCATATATCTATAAATGAAAAGTTATTCTCTCAGTACATGGATACACATTTTTATCATTGCATAACAAAACATGGTTAGAGAGATAAAAGTTATTGAAATACAGCTACTAACACATGATTGTGGAAATGCACAGGACATGTTCTTATATGGCCACAGCATACACTTAAAGTTGTACTCTGCAGAAACACCTTACTTGTTTCTACACTGACTATACTGTAATCAGAGGTTGGTATATATGATGAAGACCTCATGCATTCCCGAAACTTAATGCTGTTTTTTCCCCAGTCTTTTTCCTCCTTGGATTATAATTCTATTACAGTTCAAGGAGAGCCCTGAAAATTCAACTGCATGGTCCCATCTGAAGAGTCTTATCAATAATTGCTTTCAGAATGGCTCCAGTATGATGAGAAAATCAAAGATTTTAAACATGCATATATTCTGAACTTTCATAGTTCAGATTCCATACCAATTAGTATTTTCACAGTTTCATGATCTAATCATAATTCTTTTCTATGATTATTCTTGGTAAGAGAATTCAATTCTGCTTCACAATTTTCTTTCTGAAACATCTTCATAGAAAATACACTGTCATGCTCCATCAACAACACCCTCTCCAGAGTCAGTTCTCTAAAACCCCAGATGCAAATGTATCCTAGGCCTTGGTGTAGAAAAGCTTTGCAGTCAGTTAACAAAGTAGATATAACAATACTTTTTCTTAATTATTCTGATATGTATATGAAACCAAATATATAGTTATTTACCCTGCTATCCAGCAGTTCTTGGGCAGTGGTCCTCTTTCCATGATTCTGTTGCAGACACTAATTTTCTATACCAAATCTTTCATCCTATCTTTTGTCTCATAAGACCAAATTTTGATTAACTCAAAAAATCAGTAGCCCTACTATATACAGACAATAAATGGGCTGGGAAAGAAATCAGAGACTCATCACCCATTGCAATAGCCACAAACAAAAAATACCTTGGGGTAACATCATCCAAACAAGTGAAAGACCTGTATAACAAGAACTTTGAGTCTTTTTTTGTTTTGTTTTTGTTTTTGTTTTTGAGACAGGGTTTCTCTGAGTAGTTTTGGAACCTATCCTGGCACTCACTCTGGAGACCAGGCTGACCACAAACTCACATAGATCCGCCTACCTCTGCCTCCCGAGCGCTGGGATTAAAGGCATGTGACACCAACGCCTGGCCCGAACTTTGAGTCTTTAAAGAATGAAATTAAAAATGATAACAGAAAATGGAAATATCTCCCATGTTTTTAGATAGGTAGGATCAACATAGTAAAAATGGCAATCTTACCAAAAGAAACCTACAAAATCAATGCAATCCCTATCAAAATACCAGCACAATTCTTCACAGACCTTGAAAGAACAATTCTCAATTTTATATGGGAAAAAAACCCAGGATAGCCAAAACACCCCGGTACAAAAAAGGAACTTCTGTGGGGTCATCATCCCTGACTTCAAGCTCTATTATAGAGCTATAGTCCTGAAAACAGCTTGGTATTAGCACAAAAAATGACAGGTTGACCAATGGAATCAAATTGAAAATCCTGATATTAACCCACACACCTATGAACACCTGATTTTTGACAAAGAAGATAAAATTATACAATGGAAAAAAGAAAGCATCTTCAACAAATAGTGCTGGCATAACTGGATGCTGACATGTAGAGGACTTCAGATAGATCTATATCTATTGCCATGCACAAAACTAAAGTCAAAATAGATCAAAGACCTCAACATAAATCCAGCCACAATGAACCTCCTAGAAGAGAAAATGGGAGGTACCCTTGAATGAATTGGTACAGGAGACTGTTTCCTGAACATAACACCAGTAGCACAGACATTGAGGTCAACAATTAATGAATGGAATCTCCTGAAACTGAGAAGCTTCTGTAAGGCAAAGGACACAGTCAGCAAGACAAAGTGGCAGCCCACAGAATAGGAAAAGACCGTCATCAACCCCACATCTGACAGAGGGCTGATTTCCAAAATATACAAAGAACTCAATAAGCTAGTCACCAAAAATGCCAAACAATCCAATTAAAAAGTGGGGACAGAACTAAATAGACAATTCTCAATAGAGGAATATAAAATGGCTGAAAGACACTTAAGAAAGTGCTCAACATCCTTAGCCATCAGGGAACTGCAACTCAAAACAACTCAGAAATACCATCCTACACTGGCCAGAATGGCTAAAATCAAAAACACCAATGACAGTCTATGCTGGAGAAGTTGTGGAGAAAGAGGAACATTCCTCCATTGCTGGTGGGAATGCAAACTTGTGGGGCCACTTTGGAAATCTGTATGGCAGGCTTCTCAGGAAAATGGAAATCAGTGTACCTCAAGATCCTGCAATTCCACTCTTAGGCATATACCCGAAGGATGCACATTCATACAACAAGAACATCTGTTCATCAATATTCATAGCAGCATTATTTGTAATAGGCAGAACGTGGAAGCAACCCAGATACCCCTCAACCAAAGAATGGATGGGGAAAATGTGGCACATTTACACAATGGAGTATTACTCATGGAAAAACACAACAAAATCTTGAAACTCACAGGCAAATAGGTGGAAGTGTATAAAACCATCCTGAGTGAGGTAAACCAGTCACAAAAGGACAAGTATGGTATGTACTCACTCATATATGGATATTAGACATAGAACAAAGGACCTCAAGCCTATAATCCTCACCACCAGATGAGGAAACAAGGAAGACCCTAAGAGAGAAACCCATCATCTCTTGAAGAAGGAGAAAGGGACAAGAACCCCTGAGCAAATTGCGAGCATTGGAGAGAAGGGAGGTAGGTAAGAAAAACAGAAGGTGAGACGAGGACGGGAGAGGAGAACAAGAGGGATCAGGAAGACTGAGACTGGGATGAATAGAGGAGAGCATCAAAAGCAGACGCAGACACCCACAGCTAAACACTGAGCTGAACTCTGAAATCCAGTTGGAGAGAGGGAGGAGTGATGAGCAAAGGGGTAAAAAACCAAACTGGAAAAACCCACAGAAACAGCTGACCTTAACAAGGGGTTGCTTGTGGGCCCCAGAATGATAGCTGGGAAACCACCATAGGACTGTTCCAGACACCCAGAAGGAGGAAGTCAGTTTGGAGGTCTGGACAATCTATGGGGCCACTGGTGGATCAGTATTTACCCCTAGTACACAAATGAACTTTGGGAGCCCTCTCCACATACAGGGATACTCTCTCAGCCTAAACACACTGGGGATGGTCTAGGCCCTGCTCCAAATGATATGACAGACTTTGAAGATCCCTCGTGGAAGGCCTCACCCTCCCTGGGAAGCAGAAATGGGTTGGGATAGGGAGTCAGTGAGGGGCAGGGGAGGAGGGGAGGAAGAGGGAGCTGAAATTGACATGTAAAAGAAGCTTATTTCTAATTTAAATAAAAATAATAAAGAGATACCTTAATAGAGGGAGCCAGTATATGTTTAAAGAGAAATCTGGCACTAGGGAAATGTTCAGAGATCCACAAGGATGACCCCAACTAAATATCTAGGCAGTAGTGGAGAGGCTACCTTTGATTCCCTTCCTCTATAATGAGATTGATGACGAATGATTAATTGCCATCCTAGAGCCTTCATCCAGTAGCTGATAGAAGCAGCAACAGAAACCCACAGCTCTGAGTGGTACTCCCAGAATCCAGTTGTAGGGAGGGAGGAGAGATGAGCAAAGAAGCCAAGACCTTGCTGGAGAAACCTACAGAGCCAGCTTACCTGAGCTAGAGAGAACACAACAATCCCAGTGGTAAAGCTGGGGAAACAGCTTTGGGCTGAACCAAGACTTCTGAATGTAGGTGCCAGCTAGGAGGCCTGGGCAGTCTATGGGACCTCTAACAGTGGAACCAGTGTTTATCCCTAGTGAAAAAATGGACTTTGGGAGCCTATTTCATAAGAAGTAATACTATTGCAGCCCATATATAAGGAAGAGGGCCTTGACCTTCCCCCAAATGATGTGACAGACTTTCACGATCCCCCATAGAAGGCCTCACTATCCTTGAGTAGTGTTGGGGGGGTCGGTGTGGGGCCTGGGAGGATGCAAGGGCTAGGGAATTGATATGTAAACTGTAATTGTTTCTAAAAAAATGACCAAATTTTTAACACTATTTACTTAGATTTCTCTCTAAATTCATAATTGTCTTAGATCCTTTACAGCAGGTGGAAAGCCAAAAGAAGATGAACTACATAAAGTCATTTCCAGCATTTAGAGCCAAATGTGAGTGCTAAGTTGACACTCTCTCTAGTCATCGATGTCTTCTATACCTATAGCTATACACATAGATGGCTATATGAACTATGGAGTTATATATAGATATTTATTCCTATAGATAGGTCATATCTAAATAAGCAGAAAATAAATTTCCATTAATTCATGTAAACATAGTAAGGAAATAGTTAATGATATTTTCTGGATTCAGATGTTTTAGCATATAGCGACTACCAAAAGTCTTCTTTAAAAATTAAAGATTTGGGGCTGGAGAGATTGCTCAGAGGTTAAGAGCACTGACTGCTCTTCCAGGAGTCCTGATTTCAATTCCCAGCAGCCACGTGGTGGGTCTCAACCATCTATAATGAGATCCGGTGCCCTCTTCCGGCCTCCAGGCACACATGAAGGTAGAACAGAACACTGTATACATAATAAATAAAATCTTTTAAAAATTAATGATTCATTTGTTTTTATTTCATGTGTATGAGCATTTTCTCTCTGCTGAGACCAGAAGAGATCATTAGATCCTATAGAAAGGGAGTTATGGATGTTTGTGAGACACCATGTAAGGGATGGAAACCAATTGCAATCCCCTCAGAGAAGTAGGTGTTCTCAATAGCTGAGTTGTCTCCACAGTCCCTGGCTGCCTCACCTGGAAGAGGCTGCAATTCAGAGGGCCTGTAGTAACTCTGAAATCTTCCCATCTGCTATCTGGTGACTAAAAGTTATGATTTTCTCATTTGTCAAATTAGATTGTACTTGGTGACTCCAAATCAAGTTCATCACCTTTCACGATGCATTCATTCATGTCATATCAAGTGTCTTGATTTTGTCCCAGACTCAAGAAAATGGTCAGTCATTTCAGTCAACTTATTTTCTTTGTATAAATTTTCTCTCTCTCTCTCTCTCTCTCTCTCTCTCTCTCTCTCTCTCGCTCTCTCTCTCTCTCTCTCTCTCTCTCTCTCGCTCTCTCTCTCTCTCTCTCTCTCTCTCTCTCGCTCTCTCTCTCTCTCTCTCTCTCTCTCTCTCGCTCTCTCTCTCTCTCTCTCTCTCTCTCTCTCTCTGTGTGTGTGTGTGTGTGTGTGTGTGTGTGTGAGTGTGTGTGTGTGGTCTTGGGTGTGCCACATTGTGCTGGTCAGGGTCAAAGGACAACTTGCATGAATTCGTTCTTCATGCTTTCCTTCCTCCATGTTGGTTCTGAGGTCTTCAGATTTAATAGTAAATACCTATTCTGGCTGAGCTATCTAGTTGCCCCCTGACATCTAGAGATTTATGTTTCTTTCAAGGCTCACTAATATGTAGAGATAGTTAATTACTCTGTAGGCAATCTTTTATGAAAACCTATCAACTCAGACATGGTGCTGGAAATCATCCTCCTTAACTGATGGCTATACTCTTGTTGTAATGATACTCTGCCCAAAGTTACCAAGGGCTGGACTTTAGACACCCAAGCTACCTGCAATCATTTCATTAATCCTAAACTTGCTTTACCTGCCTTTTCTTTATTTTCTGAAAGAGACCTCAAAATGAGTCCTGGTAGCTGTGTTTTTATTTTGTTCATGCCTCTTGGCTACCCTCTGTGCTCTCCCAGGGCCTGCCCCCTCTTCTTTTGAAACTGGTAAAGAATTGTTATATTTTTTGGATAGGTGTACTGAGATCTGCTGATTCATCACCACTGAGTAATAATAAATTCAATATTAAAAGCAATCCATAGTGAAAAATATTGTAAACAACCAGTGCTGTTCTAACATTGACCTTATGATATCACACTCTGCCATGGGTGGCTTTCTGAGTTAATTCTCAGAAGTAAATATTTGCCTAAAAACCAGAAACAATGTAATTTTAAAAGTATTTACTCTTACGATCATATTTAAAATACAATAATGCATAAATACATTAATATTTATTCTATGCTAATAAAAATAATTTGGACAATAGTATTTTAAGTTATTTAAATAATAAAAAACTTTACTCAAGTAATAAACATGTAGAAAGTACAGTACCTTTCTCCGATGTTTCCTTAGATCACTTGGCTGCAACAGGCAGTAATAAGAGAAACAAAAAACAAAAAAAAGAGAAGCATAAAAAGGACTAATTAATGATTACCATCTGATGATATTTAGTTTAGTTACTATCTATAACTTGGCTCTTATTTTTCTTTATTCCATTATTTCCTGAATATACACCTTTTATCATCCTAATATTGAATATATAATATTCAAACATAAACTACTTCCAAAAGATTATTTTCTCCAACATTTTATGTAGGTTAAAGAACATCTAATTATACATCTTTATAAAAACAGTGAGTTGAGAAATAGAATTTTGTTGAGTGGTAAAGATTTCCAGGATATCATACATTGCTTTTCTGGAATAGATATTTAAATTGCTAATTTCTTTTCAAGGATTGTCTTATGCACTAACATAGCACACCTAAGTTATCATAAATATTTTCTTATTATAAGGCTGACAGATCATGTGATGCAGATAAAGGGAAGTAGCAGGGAGTTGGAAAAAGAAAGCAGAGGATGGGGTGATGGAAGAATAACTAACATAAGGATGTTTGAAAACGTCATGTCAAAACAAAGAATTTCATGAATTTCCTAAATATGTATACATATTTCTATGAATAGTTTAATAGGAATTACATTACAGACCAAATAATACTCTTCTGATAGCCATAGGGTATCAAGTAAAACCCAGTACCAACTGTGGGATACTTCCCTTTAAAGAGTTGTTGGCTGGTGATGTCCTGAAGACATCCAAAAGTATAAAGATTACTGCAATTGCTGTTAGTGTTAAACCAGAACTTGATAATAAGAATCTGTTGCTCAAGACACCAAACATTTTGGTCACAAGACTTGGAGTAATCAGATTGTTACTAACAGGAAGTTTCCTCCATGCTGTCTAGCTTTTAGAGTACTAGAAAGTACTATTTATCCTGACTTTTGTAAACCCTGTAAGCTACAACAATGATGGGATGTTAGGGTTTGCCTAATTGTACAGTAGTAATGAAAATGTTATGGAGGTAACCAACTACTTGTCAATTATATTTAGACTACTGAATAGGAGGAAATGCATACTAAGTATTGTATGACTGGCCAAGAACACCTAGTTGATCATTGGGTAAACCCACTATTATTGTTCTGATAAGTAAATATAGTATTTATTATACTTCCTTCCAAATCTGTATCTCTATATCCATATATTGGTGCAACTCTCAGCCACAATGGAGATTTCTTTTACTCACCAGATGGGTGTTAATGCAAAACCCATAACTGGTCAATAAACAGACAGCAAGTGTCAGTTAAAGATTCATCCACAAAAGAGACATCTGTATCACCTCTTTCACAAGACTCAGGGGCTATTGAGGAAGGGTGGCTGAAAGATTAAAAGACCCTGGATTTGGAGACAGCTGAAGAAAATAATATCTTCTGCATATGCTAAGATCGCTGTATTCATGAGCTTGCCTGCCTGCAAAAGACTTGCATAAAATCAAGCCAATGGGAGGAGTGGATCAGGAGGAGCAATGGACACCTAGTGCTTTTGGGGAAGTGAGATCCAATGTTTTGGGACTGTTGTCCTTAGAGGTCAAACACAATCCAATGGATGACACCATTCTTGTGAAGATATGGGCATCACAAATAGAACTTGACAGGTTGTTAAAAAAAGATAAAAGTTGTCAGGAGGTTCTGGAGATAGTGTGTGGATATGGGAGTAGGTAGGGAAGAAGTGATGAGTCAAAATGATCAAAATATATTGTTTGAAATTCTCAACAATTGATAAAATAATATATTGACAATTATCAATATGTTATTGACATTAAAAATATATTTTAAAAAGAATATACTTTATCACAAAAGTAAAAGTAAATAAGAGCAACACAGATAAAGTACACCTGGTTTAAGTACTACCTAAATTGTACTCTGTATTTGAAGCTTCTTGCTGAACCATTGAAAATAACTTTGAAGGTACTTATTACATTTGGACCTAAGGCCAAGATGCTAATATTTTTAGTTAATAAGATTAGAGGAATGTTCCCTAGATTTCCAAATAAGCAGAACATAATGGGTGTCAGTGCACCCAATGAGTAAATTACCCAATTGGGTAATTTATCGACCAAAACTTTACAGTTGCATTGTGTTGAGATGAATTCTGATCAGTTACTTGTTACTCTGCTTGGTTCTCTTCCTATATAATTTTAAAACTTTTCAGATATCAAATCTCCTAATGTGCACAAAGGAAAATGAAATATCTGAAGGAGGAAATGTTTCAGTTCTTTTTATTTTACGTAGACTTTATTGCTTAGACATTTCCTAACTATAGAATTTGAATAGGAGCAGTGTTCCAGAAATATATAGTTTTGTTTTAGTTCCCATTTTCAAAATAGAAGAAAATAGTATCTAAGCTCTCTATATGAAAAAATTTTCATGATGGTGAACTTAAATTTTTGATCATAAAATAGTATTTCCCTTACTTATGTGACTGTTTTTCCTATGGTGAGGAATATGTATGTATCTCTATACATGCATGCAAATTAGACTCATAAAATCATACATATATTTATATAAATTAACTGGAAAATGAAATATTTTAATTTATTAGCTATATTGTACATTGTTTAAAAACAATTTCTGTTCAATTTAGACACTAATTTAGTTTCTCTATTCATATTGGGGGTCATAAGCACATATAGACAAGGGCAGTATTTATTTTCATAGTCAATTCAAGGTCTTCTGGCCATAAATGAATATGGTATCATTAATTTTTCTCTATTATAGCTGGCTATATTTTACAGTGTATATTATCTATTTGTAGCTCAATTAGTTTCTGTGACCAATCTGTCTTATTTTAATTGTAATTTCATAATTTTAATCTTCATTAAAGAAACCGTATTTTACCTCATTTTTTGCAGTGTTTTCAATTTACTCAACTACTGTAAAGAACAAAACATTATATCCTTTTTAGTTAAGGAATTGAGAAAAAACCTACTCCATATATTAGCCATTTTTAGTACAGGCAGTTTATCCAAGATTTCAAAGTTATCTCTGTCTTTAACTAATAAAGTGCTCTCTTCCCTCATGTCATCATGATGGGCAGTAAAATCCAGTGAATTTGACCAGAGGCTTTCTTATATTAATTTTAATATGTGACCCTTTTATTTTCTTTCAATTCTTTCTAGGGTACTTCCTGACTTAAATATCCCAATGTAACAATAAATGAAAACAAATCCAAAAGGAAACATTAAAGTGTTAATATGAAATACAAAAATAAATACTGAAGAAGTGATTCTTCCATTTTTTTGTGTTTTTTCTAGAAATTATATATTAAAATATCTTAATTTATTATTGTACATATTTTTCTATTAGATATATTTTTAAAGGTACTGATGTATTTCCTATCTGACAAAAAGATACTGGTTTAATTCACTCAAATTTCTGATGTACATTTAAAGCCCTGACTTCCTACTGACTCTGAGATTGTTTCCTCACTGTCGAGGGCTACCCTCAACCTATTGTGCGAATGATGAACGGTGGTAAATGACCACAAATGGCTGTTGTGGTAAACAAATTTACACATTATTTTCATGGGTAAATAGACAATAAAATGCAGAGAAAACTGGATGAGAGCAAATACTTTGTAGTTAAAGAACGAATAACAAGTTTTACTGGATACAGAATTATTACCAGGGTCATGACTCCCATGCGGTCCATTTCCCTGGCAGGGCTCCTTGGTGTGAGCTTTGGCGTTGAGTGTCCACTCGGGGGAGATGAACTGGCCAGCGATGACGCTGTAACGGAGGCAGTGATGGACGTACCAGGATGGACCCTTGCCAAATTCAGGCCTTCCAAGCTTACACTAGCCACTCTGTTCTCAATTTCTTCTGCACGCAATTCCGTAGATTCCTTTTCTTCTTGAATTAGCCTAGGAGGTAGAAATATTGTTTTCCATTATGAGTTAGCTAGTGGCAATTGGATTTCACCCCATAAATTATCCAGTTAAGTACTGTGAAATTTTACTTCAAATCTATCCTTTCCGTTTCCTTTTGAGGTGGCACAATTTTAAATTGCATGGAATTACTGGCTATGATTAAGAAAAGTCTTTTTTATTCCTTTAAAATTATTATGGTATGTATTTGGAATTTCTAGTTTGCCACCTGTAATTGCACAATGAAAATTTCCACCTCAACAATCTCTTCTGTATAAAATGTGTTATTATAAAACATTTTCTTATCTACTATGAAATAATTCATAATTAAAACAAAACATCTATGTTTCATTGGCTCCAAATTTTAAAAAAACCAAACAATAAACAACAATGAATTCAGGCATGGTGGTGTATGCCTATAATCTCATTTCTTGGAAGACAAGAGAGATATAGTATAACAATGAGGTAAAAGACAGTTTGAGTGGCAAAAAGAGTTTCACGAGAGCCCAAATCTATATTCTATCTTCTCTGTCTCTGTCTCTCTCTCCCTTTCTCTCTCCCTCTCTCTTTGTGTGTGTGTGTCTCTGTGTCTCACATACACACATACAAATCCAGTACAAAAAGCGATAGGTAGACTATTGAAGTTATGGCATTAAATTATTACATTTATCATCTACATATGTTAGGTCTTTCATATTTAAGGTATGTCAAATTAATTATAAAAGTTGTCCATGTACTTCCTAAATATCGGAAGAAATTTCAATTGATCAATCTGATTGACCAAGAACTTCAGTATGTATGTATGAAAATTTTGACTTACAGATACAAGTAATAGTAGTTAATTTCTAAAACAAACCCATATAAAACCTATGTCTAATTTTGAAATATTTTGAAGTAAAATTAAAAATTTAATTTATTGATTGATTCTATTGTTTATGAGACAAAAAACAACTTTGTGGAAACTTAACCTTCACTTAGAAGGAATATTAACTACTTTTTTGAGATTTATTTTTTATGTAGCTCGTATTTTTTTAATTTAAGAATTTAAGTTGTTTTGAAAATTATTTTTATTTTGTGTGTACATATGTCTGTGCATATGCTTGGTGCCTGTGGAGGCCAGCAGAGGGCATCAGATCCTCTAGAAATGTGGATGCTGAGGAGCAACCCCTGGGCCACTGGAAGAACATCTTAGCCACTGAGCCATTTCTCCAGCCCTAATTAATTTTCAAAAAAATCTAGGGAAAACTAGGCTTCACTTTGGAATACAGTAGGCCAAATTGAAAGGCAAATCTTATTATAGCAGATCATTCACAAGTATAAAAACAATCTGTATTTTCATGTGATAGTCACTAAAATATTTTAATATTTGTAACTAAGAATGAAAGTATCAGTATTAGTTTATACTATTATTTAAGTAAGTAGTTTATTTTCAAATCTCTAGTTCTTCTGGGAAGTACATATATACTATTGTTAGCATATACTATGCAATAGACAGATCCCTCTACTCATAGTATTAAGATCACAAAGAAGCCTGGGTCCATGGGCTGCTACTGTATTTGCAGATGAAAACACCGGAAGTCATAAGAATGAGACCTTAATTTGATAGAGTTAATCCCTCTTCTGCTCTCTTTCATTTGTCTCACTTATGTCATGATTTACCTGCCAATTAGCCTTTCCCACAAGCCAGGAAGACAACCTTCACTAGAAATCAAACCCTGCCAGAACCTTACTCATGAATTTAGTAATCTTCTAGGCCAACTAATCCATGCTTCACTGGTACTAAATGAAAAGAAATGGTGCTTTAAAAATGACATTAAACATCAACAAAATTACAAGAAATTAGCATTCAATTGTATTATGGCCAAGATTACATTTAAAAAACAATTTCACACCTTTAAGTGAGCTCTGTGTATTTTAGTTTCTAACCTCGACATCCTTAGCTTTGGGAAAATACAAGTTAAATCTATATTGGCATTTAATTTTACCCCAGTCACTGTGACTATGATCAAGAAAACAACTGACAACAAATGCTGCACAGAATGTGGGGGACCCTCATTCACTGTTAATGGAAATGTAAATTGGTGCATCTGCTAAAAGAATTGCTGTGGGAAAGTCTCAGATAGCTGAGTAGACAACACCAAAATTTACCCCAAGAATCCTTACAAGGGGAATAGACCCTAGGGAAGACATGGCTCTGTTATGATATATACAGAGAAACCTGAGCTGTTAAAATCTTGCATGACTTATCTAATACTGAGGGATATTTTCTCTGTTATCGGGGTGTTCTGTACATTTTCTTGCCTTTGTGCTGGGTACTATTGTTAATATCATTATTGGTTGAGGAAACAGTAGCCCACAGTGGTGATACAACCATTCAGAAGAAAGATATCTAAATATACATTAGAAGTGTGAATTATCTAAACCCTTAAATAAATACCCTTTAACTTACTTTACAGATATTTTCTGAGCCACAAAAAAAATTAAAAACATGAAAATTTCAGCTAAATGTTGAAACTAGAACACGTTATATAGAGTGAGATAACCCAAACCCTGAAATCTAACCCAGACTCTGAAAGATAATCATTACATGTGCTTTTTTATTTGTGGATCTTGCTTTCAAAACTTTAGATGTGAGTATATAACCTGGAGGGACACTGAGGGAAATGAGAATTGTGGGGGAGAGTTACCTTGGCAGAGAGAAGTGAAAGCAACCCACAGAGAGGGAGGGTGTTAGAAAAATAACACCTAGGATGTTTTAAAATCCATAGGCAGTCATTTTATTTTATGTTTGCTTCAAATTGTGTTTGTGTGCATTGTGTGTGTGTGTGTGTGTGTGTGTGTGTGTGTGTGTGTTTTATAATTTAAAAGTAGTTAGGATACTTTGAGTGACAGTGATCCCAACAAAAGTCACAGACTATCAAAAAATTTGAAAAGGGTAGGAAAAATTGTTGGTCAGGTGCCAAGAGAGCTTCAAAACGATATAGGCTCTTTTTGATGTTCTTTATTGCCTTTCCAAACTTGAAGCTTAGATCCAATTTCTTAAAAAGCCAAACAATTTAGACAGAGTACTAGAATGAACTCAGCTGGAATTGATCTTGAAGCCTCTTCCCTGGTAGCTACTACAGTACTAGAATGACTTATGCAAGCTACCAAAGGAGAAAACAATCAATAGTTCTAACCAGCTGGAACACCTCTGAACAACAATGATTAGAAAGACAAGATATCTCAAGAGGTGTAATAGCCATATAGTTGAATTTAAGACTCTCTCAACAGGAGTGAATTTATGTCTGGCATTGCAAACCTCCCCCATCCCAAACCAATAGCTACTGAGAAACTTGACCCTAGAGGAGAACTTACTACTTAACTTTCATAAAGCAGTATAATGCCTAACTGCCTTGTAAGTACTATCGTAAGACCCGCAGGTAAGTATAGCTTTTACCACTTCATCAGTGGCGCTTAATTTTGCAGCACATGGGAGACCATTACAGAGAGTCACAACTAATCCAGATGCAGAAAAAAACTAACTGTGGGTTTCACAGTCCCAACTGTACAACACAACCCCTTCATCTAAGGCTTGGGAGATATTGTGGAGGAGAGGAGGAAATATTCTAAGAGACACATTATCAGGATGTCAGTTAGGTAGTTTCTCTGATAAATGACAGTGAACTTGCACCAATGAAATCTCAAAAATATGGTTCCCTAAATAAGACCCCCAAAATTACAATACCAACTGACTTACCAAAGGGTATAGGAGAAAGGTCACATGATCCCAATCCTAGATGAAGAGCTATAGGCAATTAATAGTTGCTGAGAGAAAATGATTCAATCCTTTTCAGGGACTAGTTCTTCAATAAGTTATGAATACCCAACTAGTCATCTCTACACATACAGACACACACACACACACACACAACACACACACACACACACACACACCCTCACTCAATATACACATACACACATATACACACACACACATATATACATACAAATATATGTTCATACATACACACATGTATGCCAATGAGTCAAACCAAATGAACTCAGCAGGTTATATTCATAAATCTATGTCTCTACATATATTCATATCTCAAAATTAATAAAGAATCCGTGAAATTGAGACAGAGTGGGAGTGACAAAAGAAGAGCTACAGGAAGGAAGGGAAGAGAGGATATTATATAAATACAACACTAATATGTAAAATTTTCCAAAACATAAAAATTACTCTTTTATATCATTCTTAACACCATCACTCTGTATGTCTCATGTATATTCTTTGAAGAGGGTGACCTACCTTGATGAGTCTTGTAACAAGGCATATTTTTAAAAAACAGGCATAAGGGAAACTGATGTTCTGCAGGTCTAACAAGGCACCAGGGGATGCCAAGCCCAATAGTTTGAGAAACATATTTTAAGTATTTAGGTTATCTAAGTTCTTAAAAGCACCATATTGATACCTTATTTCTTTGTTGATTGCATCCAATTGTTCTTGTAGCATCATAGCTAGGGTCTGAGCATCAGAATGACCACTTGGAGAGAGAAGATCCATTGAGCTAAAAATTGTTTCTCTGTCATCATCATCAATATCAGACATTTCAGTGTCACTTTCAAATGGGTGGCCGCCTAGTACTCCAATTTGCTGAGTTCTGTTCCATTCATGATCCCCAAGAGATTTCACCTGAATGATAAGTGACCAAATCAGAAACTCGTATTAAAAGAACAAATCTGAAAAGTGACAACCACAGCGGCAACATCAAAACAAGCATGCATGCCTTCCTAGCTGCTCAGCAAAATGCATATCAAGTAGTAATATTTTAATTTAATAGTGCAATAAAATATTTCCTGACATTTTATGAGATAGCTGGTATGAATTGCTCACTTAAATCAATATTTTAGTAGGAGCAGAGATGATAACTTTTCATATGATTTATATTTAACTAGCTTTCAAGGTAGTGATTATTTTTAAGATATTACATTTGCAACACTCCCTGGCCCCCGGCCCGGATTTCCAAATATAACAATTCTCACTTATGCTCAAGCATTGTCATTTCTTATTAGTCATATCCACACTTTTCTCATGAAAAGATGAGTATATAAATATTAACAGAAGCATACTGCATAATAATTGTCTTCTCAAAATTCACTTGATAGATTTGAGGAAAATATTACTTCCAATATTGAAAAACAACATAATTTCATGTCTATTATCATGTTCACTTCTACCCTCACTGAACTTTTGACACAATCATGAGTTGTGTTTTTTAAGTTAACATAAAAATTCCTTTGAGAATTTTGAGTAACCAATAGATCAATTATTTTGTCAACTGTTATCTCAATAAACTGTCCCTAGAATTATATGCTGTTAATGTAATTAATTTCACTGCTACAGTCATTCAAAATGAGTTTCATGGGAGATAAAATTACACTTTGTCGCATACTGGATTAATGACTAAAGACCTGAAGTATCATTTTTCTTATGAATTATTTTGGTACCAAAGACACAAATTTATTTCTCTTAAAATAAGAACTGAGACTATCTTGTCATTATTTGTTCATGTATATTTTTCATGTATTCCAGAAATGTTTGATATTACTGTGATAAATTAGTGTATGTGTGACTATTGATGCCAATTATCAACCAAAAATGTTAAAAGCCTGTTAATGGAAAAATAACAGCATTTTGAATACATAGAAATGGTCATATGAGAAATATATACTTAGGCATAGAGGAGCTCTGTTACTTCTCTATAGAACTGTATTGATTTAAAATGTTACTGCACCACTGGATTTCAAAAATATGGTTGCCTCAAGATCTTCACAGTAGAGCACCAGTTGACATGTCAACATGGGTCAGGGAGATCCCACAAGGCTCCACCACTTGATGGAGAGCTACATGCAAAGAATCCTGCTGAGAGAGAACTAGTTTTCACTTGGGACAAGCCTTCTGGTAATTTGTCCAATTCCAGGAGATTCCCCCCTAAACATATACATATAACTCAGCATGTTAGAGTTTTAAATATGTATGTATGTACATATATCAATAATAATTATGAGGGCATGAATTTAAGAAGTGGGAAGTGGTACAGAGGGAATTGAAGAGTGGAAAGGAATATGGGAAATTATGTAAATGTAGTATTCATATCTGTAATTCTCAAAAGATTAATTCTTTTATACTGTTTTATACTGTCCTTAACATGATTGTCTATATGTTTAATGTGTGTTCTATAATGGCGGTGATCTATCTTAACACGAGATACTCTGGGTCTCTTGTAATAATGGAATGATGCCCAGCAAGCTTTGAGAAGATATATATATATATATATATACTCTGTGATTCTTTCCAACTCTGATTAATATTGCTACATAAAGAAGAATCCATACCTTTGAGAATGTAGGAGGAGTTGTGCCAGGGACAGGCAGGGGATAAAGGAGGAGTTGGATCAAGGACAGGCAGTGGTGAACATGAGGTAAACATAGTATGAGCACATGAAATTTTACAAATTAAATACAAAGTAAGTTACTGATTAAAAGGCCAGAGTAGCAGTTTATCTTGAAGACTACTACACAGGCACTTTTAAAAGTCTATATAAACTATGTTTTAAAATAGTAATTTTTAACAAAACATTTTCTCAATTTTACATAAAAATATAAATGTCAGTGCACAAGAATCCAAGCTAGCAAATGTCATTTGCTAGGCAATATAATATAATGGTTAAAACATGGCATCTCTCATTACCTACATCTTACTCCAACCTTGAATCAATCAATGTGCTAGCTCTGTACTGTGGAACACTTAATTTTTCTTTGTCTAAATCTTAGTATAAAATTAGTATAAAAATTGCACACAATTAATAATGGCAAATAGACATGTAGGAAATTTCTGGTACATATTAGATGCCTTACATTAATTAATTTCAAAATAAGTCATTTTCCATCCTTGACTCTGACATAAATTAATGCTGGCATTCAGGATTCTATTCTAGTAGAAACACTATCTAGAATAGCATCATCTTATTTAGCTAAAATGACTAATGCCTGGAGAAAACAATTACCTTTGGCTCATCTCTTCGAACACCCATGCGGCCTCTTCTGGGTCTCCGGATTACTTTAGTGGTTCTATAATCAGACTGGCTGTCCACAAGGGACCCAACTGAATACCGCAACTCAGCCGAGGTGTCTAAATGCGTTCTAGAAAACAAAAAAATATCGAGTCTCACAAATTAAACTCATCACTACCTGCTTCTAAATTGTTGATAAGGCAGAATCTCTCAAGCAACTACACCTTCAGAAAGAACAGTGTTATTCTTATCCTTCCCTTGGACATGTCTATCAGATGATGCAGTAGATTTTCATCATTGAATGTAAGGTACATTTTCTAATTTCATACTGCACTTATAACCTTACTGTTTCTTACTGTTTTCCGTGTTGTACTACAATGAAACATGTTAATGTTAATAGCCAGGATCCATTGATACTAGACATTCTATATAATTTTTACTCATTTGTATATATCGTAAAATCATTTATTGCTATATTTGTAAATGTTTCATTTTGTGCTTACTGAAAAATGTATGAACTTGTGAGTTCAGAACTTTTAAGTTTTATAAATTACAGAGAAATTCACTAATATTTTTTATGTTACAGTGTTCTGTTGTCCAATTTAGAGAAACAGTATAATGTTTCCTTTACAGTGAATAATCTTATTTCAGTACATAGCTAGGATTTTAGCTTTGGGTAAATCATTTTTACAAGATGAAGACAAATCTTGGTAATCACACTTGATGCTTCAATTTGCTTAGAGATGAAATAGGTGGAAAATTGAAAAATACCACCACCCTGGTTTCCAGTAAACATGGTAATAAACTACAACGTAATCATAACATAGTCAGGCCCATTGTCTGCATATAGATTTACAGCAAATTCAATTTATTCCTGTAATAGTGTTGATGATAACAAAAGTGACTTCATGCGGTCCTGTAAAATGGAATCATAGATTCATCATCAGTAGGTGCTTTCTGTTCAACTTTTGGCTTGTCCTGTTTGATGACACTCCCTTCCTCAACACATTGTTGAGATCAGAGATAAAAATTTATTCTATGTTTGTCAATATTTATAAAGTTTAGATGAGCTCTAGTTGTTTGTAGTAGTGGGAGATGATAACCCAACTTAAGGAAGACCTTGTTTTACCTGATGATTAATTAAATCAAATGAAATAAGGAATCAATCTTCCAATAGATGAAACTTAGTGTTTATAGCAATGAACATGAGCTCAAAGTTCACTTGTCTAAAATAGTCATATATAAAAGTAAACTAACCTAAGACATATTCAGAAACAGCATAACTCTGTCTTAGTCTGTTGGGACAGACATTCTATTTTATGAACAAAAAATTAAATTGTACTCACCATTATTTATCCAGAAATATGTACCTCCTACACCATGAATATTTTATCAATTCCAGTAAACCAATGAGTGAAAGGATAGAATTGTAGTCCCCAAACTACCTACATCAAAATATCCTAGGTCTGTATCACCATGACTGATCAAGTTAATGTTTCTTTGGCCATCAAGTGGAGTGTCTAACATAACAACTTGTCATTCAAGAAAATGGCATTCATGTTTGCTTTGTTTTTCTCTGAGTTCTATACTATTTAAAAAGTTATGGAACATAGCAAAATTCACCTATCAGGATTCAGTTTATGACACCTTCATGTCCCATTGAGGCCTCTATAGTTTGGGACTTCCTAGTTTACAGATTCATGTTAGCTACTCACTCGTTCCCACCCTTCCTCAACCAGATTAATGGACTGACATTCAATTCGCTCAATAATTTATACTTTATTTCATTTCTGAGCCTTTGAACATGCCATTGTTTCTGCTAAAATGATATGTGTCTAGCATTCTTTGAGTTTCAACTTAAATGTCCAATTGCTACATGTTATTTTAGTTTTTGTGGTATTCCATCTTTGCAATAGCCTACAAGGTAGCATTATCCTGTTTCCTTTTAACAACATCTGTTTTCATCACCACTGGAGCCCTAGTGCTTCTCCATCTGGCAAATAAAGCATGATTAATAGATCTCTAGAGAAAACATGAGTCAACACCAATCTTGAAAGGGTACAGCATAAACTTTGTGTAAAATTACTGCTTGCCTCTCTACTTTTATCACTTTTAAAGCTCATTTCCTAGTAAAGTCAAAAGGAAGCTATATTCCCACTATAAGTTTTAAATCATTTTCTGCATATATATTAGAGAGATTTAGCAAGTTGAAATAAGTTTAAAAAATATCTTTCATTAACCTGATTGCTGGAGATGGCAAGTTCAGGCTACCTATCTACTATTGCTAGTAGTATCCCTTTGGGACCATCTTGTTACCTAGCCTATTTGGGGCTGTAGATCATAGCATGGCTATCCTTTGCTTTATAGTTAATACCAACTTATGAGTGATAACCTACCATGGTTGTCTTTCTGCATCTGCATTACCTGACTCAGAGTGATTTTTTCAAGTTCCATTCACTTGTCTTCAAATTTCTGTGTATGTGAGACAATTGCATGCTTTGGTCTACCTATGGGACTCCCGGCAGTGAGAGCAGGACCTGTCCCTGACACTTTGGGACACTTTGGCAGACTTTTGGAAACATATTCCCTAATACTTTGTTGCCTTAACAAACCTTAATATGAGGAGAAGAGCTTAGCCTTATCTAAATTTGATATGCCATACTTTGCTGACACCAATTGGAGGCCTGCCCCTTTCTGAACAGAAACAGAGGAGGCATGGATTCAGAGTAGGAGGCATAAAGGAGGTAGGGGGAGGGAATGGGAGCAGAGGAGGGAGGAGGAAACATAGGTCAGGATGTAGAATATTTAATTTTAAAAGTCTTTAATTTCTTTAAGTAGTGACTTGTGAGGGTCATCAATGTAACTATCAGTATTTATAAATGCTTACTTGTGATATGATTACAATATCAATCTACAATAAAACCCTTTTCTAAAATAATTCATTGGCAAAACTGGTGTGAAAACCTAGATATATTAATTATACATACTTATTTGAAAATGCAATGTGAAAATATGAATAGGAAACATGATTTCCCATACCAAAGAGCAAACATGTCCATCTGAAGTCCAGGAATGCAGAGACTCACATGTATGGTTTTGTCTCCACTTCCTTTTTCACTGAGTAACTGTTTTTTATGGAAACAAAAACCTTTTCTGTATATGAATGCCATGGTGTCAGGCTAGCAAGAAGCCTCTTTATATACATAGAGTTTTATATATTTTTATAACACGCTTTCTGAGACTTAATACAAAAAGATATGGCCATGATATTTAGACACATTAGAATATAATTGATGTGCTGATTAGGCATTAATAGTTATATGCATTGACTTCTATGTGATCTCAGATATTTCTATGTCTTTGTCATCATCATCATTATCATCATCATTATCATCATCACCATTACCACCATTATCTCTCTCATTCTTGTGAGCACATATGACTAATTTAGTGATGTACATGATTGAGGGGTATCTCTGTGGCCACAGAACTATATTTCCCACACTAAGCTAAATTTAAACATGCTCAGCTATTGGATATTGTGTTAATTTGTAGTTCCTCTGAAAAGATTAGTAGCCTTTTTAGGGAATTTTTGATATTTATTTTACTGAGTGTGTATGAATGTCTCACCTACATGTATTTATATGCCCCGTGTGCATGCTTGGTACCAATGGAAATCAGGAGAGGAAGTCCAATCTCCTGGAGCTTGAGTAACAGATGGTTTTAGGCAACCACTTGGTTTCCAAGAACTCTCTCTTCATCTGTGCAGGATCAACAAATGCTCTTAAAATCTTGAGCTATCTTTCCAGCCTATGCTACAGGAAGGTTTTGGTTTAGTTTTTATCTGGTTATTTGAAATGTTAACTCCCAGATGATCACTCATTTTACCTAGAGCATACTACAGGCCAGAGAGATTTGTGGGGCTATGAACATATTTATTAGCAAACAAACATGAATTTTTGCCTTTGTGGAGATAATATTCTTAAATAAAAACAAGTGGAGTTCTGGAAAGCAATACTTGACAAAAGTTTCAAATGATTTTATTCAGCTTTTAGAAAGTATATAGCTGAATAAATTTCATTATGTTTTAATATGCATAGGGAAAAACTAAATTTTACACATATATTACTGTCAAATGTAGCTACCTATCATCATATATATTTATCTATCTACTAACTGATTATTGTCTTTTTAAATGATGATTTGATAGAACAGTGAGCATGACTAAACTTCACTAAATGCTTCTTTTTCATATGTTTCTATATTAATTTTCAACTGATTAAAATGGGAAGATATTTGTTAGGTCACTATAAGGATCTGCCATATTTCTACCTTGAACACATTAAAAAACAGAACTTCAATCAATAGAATCAAATTAAAGGCACAGATATAAATCCATGCACCAATGCACAACTGAATTTTGATAAAGAAGCCAGAAATAAACTCTGGAACAAACATCTAAAAACAAAACGTATTACTCAAAATGGATGAGTGTCCATGCATGAATCCAAATTGATCAATACTGAACCACCTTGCACAAAACTCAACTCCAAAGGGATCAAAGACCTCAACATAAAACCAGTTACACTAAACCTTATAGAAGAGAAAGTGATAGCCTTGAACTCATTGGTACAAGAAATACTTTCTGAACAGAACCTCATTAGCACTGACACTAAGATAAACAATTAATAATTGGAACCTCATAAAACTGAGAAACTTCTATACAACAAGGAACACCATCATTCAAACAAGGAGGTAGTTTACAAAGAAGGAAAAAAATTTTACCCACTATAGATATAATACAGGGCTAATATCCAAGTTGTATAAAGAACAACAACAAAACCCTAGAAATCAATAAAACAAATAACCCAATCAAAAATGGGCACACATCTAAACAAAGAATTCTCAAATAAGAAACTCAAATGGGGGCCCTACCCTGCCTGGGGAGTGGTGGGTGGATGGGGTGGGGGTAGGTTGGAGGTGGGGGAGAAGGAATGGGGGTAAGGGGAGGGAGAGGGAGAG